AGAGAGAGATGCACACAGTGTAACATAGTGTTTGTCTTACAAATGAAGGAGAAATAGAAAAAGCTGGAGGTTATATCTTTGGCTTAGCAAATACAAGAACAGGCTAGGGATATTCATACTTCTTAAATCAATCATACCTTTATGAATATTGTGGTACAGTTCTCCAACAAAGAATGAAAAAATAATAGACAGTATTAATAAAATAAAGTTAAAAATATTACTTCAGATTGGGAGAAAGCTGCATTCACAGTAAGATATGTGTCCATGATGTCCATGCAAAACAAACTTAAAGATGAAAACAAGTAAGTGAAACTGAAATGGGCAACTTTATCTTACTAGTGGTCTGTGTGTTTTAGTCAATTCATTTTAAGAACAAATTCCAGATTTTTCCCTGCGTTTGTGAAGTTTGTCATCTTGTATAAAGCAGCCTGCTTCTTGGAGGCTAGAGCTATCATTTCCACTACCCAGTTTTGGATTACCTTCACTTTGTAATGTTTGATACTAAGTGAACCATATTGAAATCAACCCTGCCAGGGGTCAATAAACCTCTTTGTTATGGAATATAGCCAGTTATTCTGAACTGCAAGGGACAAGAAGATTTCAGGGAAATGTCACACTTTTCTTTTTGTTTATCTGCAAGGGTTAGGGATAAGAGACACTGTTTAGTAGTGGTTCTGCTTCTTCTGAAGCAAGTAGTTCCAGCTGGTATTGGTAGGGAAAGAGAGGTCAACTTGGTAGGCACTCTCTTGTGGGGTGCCACAGGGCTTGGTCCATTAACCACTATTTTTTCAATATTTACATGAAATGCCAGGAGAGATTATCCATGGTTTGGGATGAGATATCATCAGTATGCTGATGATACTTGGATGCATATTGGGCGGGGCTGGAGATGCCATGGGGGTCTTGTTTGGTCTCTGAAGGAGCCTGGATGGAATGAATCAGGCTGAACATCAGCACATTGTTGCTGGTCCAGAAACTATCTGCTGCTCTGTCTGCTCCAGTTTTAATTCTGGATGGGATGTCACTCCTCCTGAAAGAGCAGATCCATGACTTTAAAGTTCTTCTAGGCTCAGAGCTACTG